CCTGGCTGGCCCTGATTGGCCCAGATAGGACTGGGCGAGGTGGCCCTGATTGTCCCCAATCCCAGGCCAAGCTGAGGGATCCACCCAGGCATGAATTTGTGCACCGAGCCTCTAGTCTATATATATAAAAAGCTAAGCAACTCTCCGACCGACTGTCTGTGACACCCGTCGATAGGTATTACGTGAACTGACCACCAGGGAGCAGACACTCAACTCAGGAGCTGCTGAGTGACAGCAACTTTGCAGAGTGCCCTCTCGCACTCTGGGACCCCTCAGAGGATGTGGGAGAGCCAGTTTTGACCTGATACCTGCAGGCCAGGCCAAGGGACTTCACTCACTCAACAGATGCCCTTTGAACTGGACGCTGTCCCAAGTGCAGCTGGCTGGGGAGGGACTTCAGGGGGTTGGTTCCAGGGTGTGTCAAGCCCTTCTCGCCCAGTCCCACCCTGCAGGCCATCTTCTAATTAATTCCCTTTCAATGTGTACAAATCCATGCACCAGGCCACTAGTGGTTCTCATAACATTAGTGTGCTAGAGCTAACACATAAACTAGTGTACCTTTCACCTGTACCTCATCACAATCTACCACAAGCAAGTGTCAGTAATTATGCTAGGGGTTATCACCAGCCCCACTAACCCCAAGCAGTCATGAATGGTCCAGTTCTAGAAGTTCAGCTGGAGAATGTGCTTCCTAGGGCTATCCTCTGGCCAACTGTCAGACTTGGGCTCCCACCAAAGCAGACCCCAAAACAAGATGCATGTGCAATTTAAACAGGAAGTCATCTCAGGCAGCAAGAGCAAGTTTATTTATTTGGGGAAGTGGTCTCAGGGAGCAAGACTGAGGCTATGAAGAGAGTGACACAAAGAAGGAAGAAGTACCCCTGACTGAGGGTCATTTCCAAGGTCCCTGCTGTGGACAGCAGAGACTGGATTGTGCAAGAGCATATAGAATGCCTCTCAGGGTTGCCTGGTGAAGAGGCAGTGGGGCGTTATCCACTGGCTCCTGTCTCCTACTTTCGAGTTGTCCTCTGCCCTCTGAGCTCCACTTGTGCTCAGACATAGTGAGCCTCCCAGTCCCATTGTTCATGATATTAGAGGATTCCAAGGAAGAGGCTACACTCGGTCAGCTCACATTAAGCAGAAACCTACAGGGAACTCTCCAGTCCAGCCAGGGCTGAAATCAGAAAAGGGCCTAGCAATAAGTGAGTCAGAACATTGGTTCTGTCTACTCTGATCTCCTTCATAGAATTGTTGTGAGGACAGATACAGACTCCAGGCATGTAAGGTTCTGACTACACTCCCATGTCTGTATCAAGAACACATAAATGTCATGTACTGTTTAACCTCTCCTAGCGGCTTAATGAGTCTTAGTTCATTAATAATCTTCACTAATAACCTGTGATAGAAGATATGCTCATTTCACAGATGAGGAAACTGAGTCTCTGAAGGGTGCAACAGCTTGCACACAGTCAAACAACTAGTAACCGGAGGAGCAGGTCTGTCTACAGTGCTTTTCTTCCTGCACCAGGCGTCTCTGCTGGGGGAAGAGAGAGCACTCTCTCTTGGGGGATGGGGTGTTGGGTGAGTAGTTACTGGTGGGTATAGGGGTGGGGGGAACACATGTCTCCACCTCACACACCTTCTGTTTGTTAATCTGTGACCTTCACCAGGGCTTTCCATTTTCAAGGGCCTGGCCTAGATCATCATCTTGATAGGCAGCCTCCCTGGGGTCCTTATAGCTCTTTACCACCACTTCCAGAACCATTACAGGCTCCCCAAGGCACAGTCCCAGTAGCCCCCACTAACAAGGCCCTGAGGGGGAAAGGACCACACTCAGGAAAACTCATTAGAAAAGTGGGTTTGGAGAAAGCTTCTCCCTCTTGCCTCTCTTCTGTGGCCTCTTCCTCATCCCAGGGCTGATGCAAGTCTGGGAATGAGCTTGTCTCTGGTCAAAGGCCCTGCTTGGGGCTGGCCTCTGGGAAAGAAAGCCCATCCCTAGGAAACCTGTATCTAGTCTTAATTACACCTCTAGTTTGCTGGGTGACTTTAAGGATATGGACAAGTCCTGCAGGCCTCAGCAACCCACCATTAAGTGGAATTTATATCACCTGCCCCAACTCCCTGCCATTAGGCCAGGGCAGAGATAAGGCTTTTTTTTAAAGAAAATCTAACTACTAGAAGGAGTAAGACTTGTTGCTATAGTTATGAAGGGCTTGAGTTGTTTACAAAACAACTTGTATCTCTCCCCAGCTGTCCCCTCTTTCCTGGGAGGGCTCATTTCTGAGGTCTCCCCAGAGGATAACACCCAGTGAAAATAGACCTTGGATAGAGAAGCTGTCAGCTTGTTTTTCCTCATTTTCTTTTATATCCTGGTAGCTCCTCATTTTCTGAGTAGATAACTGAGTCTGCACAGCTCATAGCTTCTTCCCTGAAAGACACCCACTGGCTTCCATGCTCATATCAGGGTGAGTGTTCTCAGGGATCCTTCCTTTGCTCCTCTGTTGCCATCAGCTCAAACCCAACTCTATATAGTGCAACTGATGCCCCTAAAAATGGGAAGCCTTTTCAGGGAAAGATCTGGGAAGATAACACAGAGGTCCTGGTTCTTCTCTGGCCCCTTTTCCCATGGCCCCCTTTCCTGGATGAAGCCACCTGCTCCCCGTTACTCTTAGGGGAGAGTGTGAAGGGACTCCCTGAGTGTAGTTCACTGCCCAGGACGACTTCATCAGGCAGCCTAGAACCTTCACTCCAATCACAGGTTGTTGAGCCTTTTCATCACTGGGAGGAACTGGTAGAGGTAGAGAGCTGTCTTAGCTCAGTGAGGAGAACCTGGGGCTCATTACAAGGCCCCAAGAGTGGTCATACAGGAGGGCTCCTCATGTTGGGCATCATGGTGACCCTGTCAGACCCTCTAGATGTCACTGCATGATTGCAGGTCATCTCAGAATCCCACTGATTTCAGGTAAGTTGTACCTCTGGGCACCTGAGGGTTGGCAGCAGCTGTTTTGTTGTTCTTTTATCCCTGACTATAACTTACTTGTCTGGAAGGTTTCACCCTCCTAAGGGCCTTATTCTTTTGGGTGATTAACATGAAAATAAACTTATCAGTGTGTGAATTGCTACATTTCCTACCTGTTCCATCAAAACTAAGGAAAGCAGTAGTTAGTCCCTGCAGCAACCTTACACCTTGCACTTGCCCCTCCCTCCCCCTCCTTCAGACTAATGCATAAAAGTCTACTGCAAATTCAATGTCACCAAGTCTTCCATGACAACTCCAGCTCATTTTAGAGCCCTCCTTGAAAATCCTATAAGCACTTGAACCATCATTTATTTATTTAGGGAATATTAAGTACCTACCTTGTGTGAAGTATTATGGAAAGTACTGCTATTGGAAAACTGAATCAGTCTACAGAGAAGTAGGGGAGATATGCTTTTTAGAGAAGTGACTTAGCTAGAAGGTAAACAGCAATAAGTTCCGTGAAATAATGTATACTTGTAGCTGAGACAGCGAGATAGATAGATAGATAGAGAGAGAGAGAGACAGAGAGAGAGAGAGACTTTTTGAGATGGAGACTTTTTTTAAAAAAAGAATTCATTCAGCAGCCAGTATTTGATTCAAATCTTCATATACTTGGCCATGTGGATTTTGAGGGAGGCGGTTGCAGGTAAAGAAAACAGTATGAGTAAAGAAGTAACAAATCACAGGGTCATAATCTAATGCTTATGTTAAAATGGATCCAAAAGGGGAAATGGAGAGTAGTTAATTATTCTTTAATATAATATATGTAATGAGCTGTTATCCATCTATTGATTTGTCAATTTGCAAAGCATTTATCAATTATCAGTTTCATAAATGATGATTACCCCTGAGGATGACCTCCCCTTCCTATCTCACCAAGTATGTGCGCTTAGAATTTTAAGACTATGTTAGAGTTCACCGCATCCAACTTTTTATCCATGTGAGCTCAGGCCCTCATCACCCTTTCCCTTTTGTTAGAGTCACCAGACTCCATCCTCTCATGCCAGTGTGTTCTCTGCAAGGGAATAACATAATCTTAGTGAAGCTCTAGCTCTGCTTATGCCATGGGCAGTAAAGGCACATAAATATATTTTGACCAGGAGTTTATTATAAGAGCTGAAGAACTTAGCGCCATCTGGCTCAACGTCTGTGCTTGCTTCATGTGGGGACCTCTCCTTAGAGCTATAGGTCAATGGACCATGCCCAAGGGAAGGACAAGTGGAGCATAGTGGCTTTGCAATGCAGAAAACTAACTGCTCCTAGCAGCAACCACCCATAGGTCATGTTGCAATTTTTATTTCAGAGGCAGGTGGCAGATACCATAAAGAGAACAAATCATTTAAAATTAAGCTGTTATTCAAAGTCTAGAGTATGGACTTAATTAACAACAAGAACACTGGCAATTTATTGACTGAGGCATTTTGAATTTATATTTCAGAGAATGTCCCTATCTTGGGGAAATGTACTTGGCTACAGTGTCTGATGTCCACACTCATGTGGTTCATCTCCCTGATTCTTGCCATATCTTTGCTTCATCTTCACTATTTATAAAAGCCTGGAAACCCTAGGTTATATTATAAAATGCCCCATAGTTTTACTAGAAATATCATTAGTTTTTATTTTGAAATATGCTTATTGCTTTGGGCTAATCCCCCAGAGTAAAATGGGGAAATTCCATCTTAATCTTAGTACATCAAAGAGAAAGCCTGCTTTTTTCTTAATGTATTTTCCCAAGTATTCTGGCCCTTTCAATAAAGAGAGTATGGGAGGGAGAGATGATGGGAGTTCAGGGCATCTCATCTGAGAGCAGGATAGAGGCTTGGAGGTGGTGGGAGGTCCGTGAGTGAGGTAGTAGGGGTTGGGAAACCATCAGCTGGAGCACTGGGAACTTGTCAGGGAGTTGTGAACATAGGTCGTTCAAAACATTTATGTGGAGTAAATACATTAGATGGACTGATGCTTCCATGCCTGGGACATTTCCTCACAGGGACTCATGGATCCAGAAGCTGCGACCAATGGGACTGCTGTTACTGAGTTCATTCTGCTGGGCCTTGTTGAAACAGAGAAGCTGCAGTCTCTGGTCTTTGTACTTTTCCTCTTTGCTTACCTGCTCACAGTTGGGGGCAACCTCAGCATCCTGGCTGCCATCTTGGTGGAGCCCAAACTCCACACCCCCATGTACTTCTTCCTGGGGAACCTATCAGTTCTAGATGCTGGATGTATCACCGTCACTGTTCCTGCAATGTTGGGTCGTCTCCTGTCCCACAAGCGTGCAATTTCCTATGATGCCTGCCTCTCCCAACTATTTTTCTTCTACCTTCTGCTTGGTGTGGACTGCTTCCTGTTGACAGCCATGGCCTATGACCGATTTCTGGCCATCTGCCGGCCCCTCACCTACAGCACCCGAATGAGCCATTCAGTCCAGTGGATATTGGTGGCTGTGTCCTGGGCCTGTGCCCTCACCAATGCACTGATCCACACTATTGCCCTAACTACACTCAACTTCTGTGGTCCCAATGAGGTCAATCACTTCTACTGTGACCTGCCACAGCTCTTCC